TAAAATAAAGAGGATTAGGATTATGGTGAAGAAGAAAATAACTGCCATCCTGCCAATTACCCCCACTCCCAGGAAGCCTTTGAATTTTTCCTACAATGAAAATGACCTTTATCAGAAGGGACTGGATCAATTGTAATTGGCACATAATCTTATATACAGTACGGTTTTTAAACTGTGATGTTAACTGTGTACTCTATGTCTTGCTTCCAGCCTTTACCCACTGCCACATAAGCGCACAGTTACATTAAGTTGATCACTTATTTCAAACTTTTCAGACTGTCATTTCTTCACTTAGGTAAGAGGGAATGCTAAGTTGTGGCCATTTTTAGGAAATGCTAAAGAAGGCCAGGTGTGCTGAAACATATGTGCCTTAACCATATGTATTTCTGTCATATAAATACATTTAAAAAACTGCAGGCTGCTATAAGTTACTCTCTGTCTCTCTTCAGCCTTAATTCAATCCCACATGTGCACAGCTTTACATTATGAACTCTTATTTCTTAATACTAAAACAGACGCACTTCATTGAGGTTTCAATTATAGTCAACTGAGAGTATGTTACCACCTGTAACATACAATTATCTGTGTGAATTTTGTGCTATGAAAAATTAAAACAAATATAATAATTCTATTTGGAAATAAAACATGTACTGTACAAGAGTTGCAGCAGTTCGAATGCTGGATAATTCTGGGTCAGCTTCTTCTACAATTTCTCTTCTAAATAAAGTTAAAATCAAATAAACTATACTGTGTTTGATCCATGCATGTGAAAATAAAAGATGCAAGAAATTTAGATCTGCAGACTATTATTCTGAAATCATTATCATTATGAATTCTCTCTGAGTGAGTACGGTCTCTCTTTAAAATAGTTTCTCAAACTCATGAGTTGCTAAAAATGATGAAACACCTGTGCTTAAACCTGGGTTGCTTTGTGTCCTGACTGTGGCAGCAACTTTCAAATTTACTTTGAAATGGTTAGAGAAAAATGTATTTTCCAACCTCATTACTACCTGAAAATTAAACAGTTATATCATCAAGGAAACTCTAGCAGAAATAATTTTGTAGATTTTACTTCGTTATAGCTTTAAATCATATTCAACATGTTAAACAGTTTCACCAAGTCATAAATATCTTAAGTGGCAGCAGGGAAAGCAGACTTAATAGTTTGATTCATAATTTTCTATATTCCAGTGGTTCCTAACTTACCCTCATCCAGAGTGGAGCAAAGATCTGTTGAGGTAGGTCCCACTCCTTTTTTGCATTTGTTCTGGCCCGTATAAGCATGCAGTAAATGGTAAAGGCTTCAGGTTGCTCAGGACGATTCTCTCAAGTTCACAGGTGGCTGTCGCACTTTGCTGCTGCCACCTTTTAAACTGCCTTCCTGCAGGGCCATACTCTGTGTAGCTAATGCTTTAACAATGCAGAACCCCGTTTCTGAGGTCAGGCTCTCAGAGGTTAGACTCACAACAAAGACTCTTTTTAGAGCCGTAAAATATTTTTATATTCAGTACTGAAATTTATTTTTATTTATTTTTTCAACTATCAAAAAACTATTTCCAGAAAGCTGAATGTGTCTGCAGCTTATCTTTCAAAAGGTTTCACTTTACCTTCCAAGTGACTTTGATGCTGTGAGAAGTAAAGGCCTCCAGCTGCAGATCCAGGAGAGGACTCCCTGGTGCTGAAGGGAAAACAGACTTTAGAGATCCCTTCATCCAAAATATGAGCTAGAAATCTGCATGGAAAAACCGACCTGCCTCTTTCATTGTGACTGTAAGAACATAACTGGTTTTACTCATGCATGTGCTGTTAGAAGCTAACATGAAAAGGTTGTAGGTCTTGGCCTGATGCAAATCCACCAAAATCACCTGGGTCAGTGCAGGATTTGAGACTTCAGTTCTTACTACAGTATCCCGGGATGCTGTGCAACAGGAAACAATAGATGTATTTACCTGTATTACAAGTACATGTAGTACCGAAAGTCCAAACTCTGTTCAGATGGTTGGGATTATTGTCGTCACCCACGATATATTTTAAATAAATCCTATACAATGTGATGGACCTGCCACCATCAAACACAGAACTCCACCAAACAGTGATGGTCCTTTATTTAACCTCTTTTGTCTCAGTCTCCCACGGGTCGGGAGGTGCTAAAAAGAAAGAAATGCTGTAGAACAGTGCAATAAAAACAAAAAATATATAAAATAAGCAACTTCAACCATCATATACTGATTCAACTCATGTGTGTGTGTGTGTGTGTGTGAGCATTGAACCAGCCTACAATTTTTCTACCTGACAGCTGTACGTCCATGAGTCACCCTCCTCAACCTGCTTGATGGTCAGAGACACGTCACCTTTATCAGGGGTCACCCGGGAGGAGGTAGCGCTTTGACAATCTGCTTTTAATGATCATTAAATTAAAATGCAAATGAATCTAATGACTGTCTTACCTCCAAGTATACAAAAGAGAAGAACGCAACACAGAGGGAGATGTCTTCTGCCTAGAAAGATTATTTTACTTTCTCAAAGTCAATCAAAGATTTAATTCACCTGCTAAACAACACTTAACCAAAACACAGTGTGGTTTTAGATTGGAAATCTTTCCAAATCACATGATGCTATCCTTGAATTTGCTCACACAAACAGCTTCTGCTGACAAATGTAGAAAAGAGCTGTTGATGATTAGACAGAGACAGAATCAAGGTTATCAACACTCTGTCTTCACTCTTGTTGTTTGCTCTCAATCCTTGAGGAGACAGGGACAGGGACAGAAAGGCATTTACAACGTTTCAACCATTCAAACTTACCTTCTCAATTGGCAGAGCAACTTCGCATTTGTTACATTAAAAAATAATCAAAATAATCCAAAAGACACTGAAGCTAACTTTAA